AGCGCTATTCGTCTATCAGGCCCCCAAATGGGGTATATGGTGAAGAAAAATTTCATTAAATTGTAAATAAAAATAATATTTTGGTTAGATTAGTTGTTGTAGAGTCCAAAATTTGTAATAATATTTTCTTACCTTTAACTTTACTAAATTACTAAATAACGTTACTAAATAACGTTTTATGCGTTAATGAATTTAAAGCTAACTATGAAGGAAGATTTCACATTATTTTCGGCGAGACGTAAATTATGGTTTTTGTTTTCAGCCAATTGCTAGCGTTGAATTGCGGTTACACATGTAGGCGGAAAAGTCATCAATTTCACTTTAAACGCTTAGTTTCAAGAGATTTTCCACTTGCTACTCCTGAAATGTTCTATTTACAGAAAAATTTCCCTCCATTTATACACTAATTTAATTTTACTCCACTTTGTCTCCATTTTTTTAATTTTATTCTATATTTATAATTTACATGGGGTAAAGACAAGTTGTAAATAATTTTTTTTTTCTATTTTAAAGCAAATAAATTCAGCATGTTTACAAAAGAACTTCATATTATACAAGTAAAATTAACTGTTGCTTTCAATTTTAAGTGTGTAATTATAATAACTGGGGCTTGATGGCCGAGTGACTGGCGTTCGGTGCCACAGCTTTCGGGTTCGAGTCTCAGCGGAGCTATGGACGTTTGTAGTTGTTCGGAGTCCCCTTTAAACCATATGAGCCGTTCTAATACGATTGTAGAACATTAGGCTGGCATACATACCCGGTAAAAAGAAAACATCTCATGTTTCAGACTCTGTAAGTAGGCACAACAGCCTTGGCCACTTTGGGGCTGTTGCCTCTGATGATGATGATGAGCCATAACAATTAGCGCTATAGAGTTCGGAGCCCCAGGTTTCGGATTAGAATACCGGGGGTATCATTGATGTACATAGTGGCTCGGAATCCCCTTTATGTCCCGGTTTAATATGAATGTTGGGCGTTCACTGGCAACCGTACCCCGTAAAAAGAAAACATCTTCTGTCTCTACATCTGCAGCAGACATGCAACCTTGGCTCACCATGGGGCTGTTGCGCCAATGAAGAAGAAGAGCAAGTTATAACAGTAAAATTATTATCCGCTCACAATAAATGTAATTTCGAAAAGTTGATAATAATCGGGGTGTCTAGATGCTGCAGCTTGTAAGACTTCTTAACTGATGGAGTTGGATTTGAAACCAGATAATTCATGTCGATCCTAAAACTCCATTCTATGCTGGAGATATGTTTTAAAATCATTCGTTTGGGCTCAAGGAAATAGAGGGTGCGAACAACCCAAATGATATCCTGGATGTGTTCCTTCCAAACTATGCTGCAATCTAGCAATCTTTCCTGAGTAACGCTGAACTTGTTTCGTATCCGCCATTGCAATATCAAATAATTTCACTTCAAAACGCTTAGTCATAGAAAATGAAAACCAGATTTTTTATCTCTTTGTAGAAAAATTTCAGTTTGTTTTTTACCATTATGTTCTATTTCTATATTTCTTATAGCTCAAAATACCTGACATCATGCCGAATCCCAAAAACAGCTTGTAAGCAATTTCTTTCATCATCATCGTCGTCGCAACAGCCCCATTGTAGACCAAGGCCGTCTGCAAACTGACAGATTACGAGACGAGAGATGTTTTTCTTTTTACAGGATAGCGTTGTCAGCTCTGCGCTCAACAAACATTTAGACCGGGACTTACGATTTAAAGTGCATTCCGAACAGCTACAAATATTCATGACACCGCCAGGACTCGAGTTCGAAACCTGTGGTCCCCACCACCATAGCGCTAGTCACTCCGCCATCAGGCTCAGATGTCAATAAAAATCAAATGTTGTTTTCAACATTTGATATGCAGTTGCAATCATAAAAATCACAATTAAATTATTTTACTATAATCGATATAGAATAAACCGCTTTTAGAAGAATATAGAATATTTTTTTTTCTTTCTTTCTAATGCAGCTGGCAAACACAGACAGCTGGGTCTTTGGATGCCTTAAGGTAAGTGCTGTACAGAAGTACTCTCTTTGCATTACCCAGGGGGCGCGTGTCACTTGAAGATAAGCCACGGACGCGGAGTAACAATGCCCCCGCAACGTTCTACGATCCTATTAGACCGGGACCTACTTTTTAAAGCGGATTCCGAACCACTACAAACCCCCATGGCACCGCCGGGACTCGAACTCGAAACCTGTGGTACCAAGCGCCAGAGCGCTAGCCACTCGACCATTCAGGCCCTAGAATATAGAATATAAAAATATATATTTATATATATATTTTAGAAAATATATAGAATAAACTTTTTAAAAATTTGAATTTGTTTAGTAAAAATGCAATAATTTTATTTTAAGATATTTTTTATAAGTTTCCAAGTACTGGAAAAATTTGTAAATTTGCATTTTAATCAGAAAGAATGTATTTCAGAAATTTGTTTTAAAGAATGTACTAGTCATTTATTTTAATTTATGTATTGAACAACAATATAGGGCGTAGTATGTAGATCTGTTGCTTCATTATATTGCAAAATAATACATATTACCCATAATAATTACTTGCATCGTCATTATATTTTTTTAAAAAGTCGTGCAAGCGATTGCTAACCAAAATTAAAAAATCGTTTACTTGTTCAATTTCGTTCGAAAATATTCAGTTACTATAGAATTTCAATTTCTCGTAAAACTGTATCTTTAAAAATAATTTTAACCTTAAAAATCTAAATTTAAAAAAAAAAATTTTTTTTTTGTTCCAATGCAGTTGGCACACACTTAGACAGCTTAGTCTTGGATGCTTTAAGGCAAGCGCTGCACAGACGTTACTCACTTTGCCTTCCCCAGGGGGCGCGTGTAACTTGAAGATAAGCCACGGTCGCGGAGTAACAATGCCCCCGCAACACTCTATGATCCTATTAGACCGGGACCTACGGTTTAAAGTGGATTCCGAACCACTACAAACATCCATGGCACCGCCGGGATTCGTACCCGATACCCGAACCCGAGCGGCAGAGCGCTAGACACTCGGCCATTCAGGCCCATCTTAAAAAATATATCGTTAAAAAATAAAAATCTATAGAATTCCAAACGATTTTCATTTCTTGAAAAATTCCATTTTCACCTGAAATACTACTTTGTCCAAAAAGTAAGACCCATTTTCAATTTAAAATTCCCGGGGCTCAGGTAATTTCGATTTTGTTTTTCTCTTTTGGGTTGCTGCCACTGCCCTTGACATCTGTGTGAAATTTCACGTCAAACTATTCATTAGTGTTCGAGTTACGCTTGGCTTTATGAGACGCTAAAACTTATTCCGCCAAAAAATGAAACCGATATCGTTCCACAACCCCCGTATTCACACCGTGCGATTTCTGACAATTCCTAAACTTCAAAGACCACTCCGGGGACACCGTTTTGAGTCGATTGAAGAGATTCAACGTGAATCGCTTCATGCTTTGAAGGTCACCCCTGCCGATGACTATTTAGCATGCATTGAGGATTGGAAAAAAAAGTCGGCATAAGTGCATTGTGTCCGGAGCGGATTACTTTGAAGGCGATGCAATAAATTTCGAAGAATAAATAAACAGTTTTTGAAAAATAAAATAATTAGTCTTACTTTTTGAGCACAATAGTAAAATTGTCTTTGCTTTCACCAGACGATCTTTTAAAATAATTAAGTAAATAAATTTTGCATTACTTAATTAATTAAATGTTATTTCGAAAAAGGAACCGAAATAAATATTACGTATAAAAACCTCGCGAAAGAAATTTAAAAAAGAAATGAAAGTGACATGAGCTACGAAAAAGTGATCAAGGACACTATAACCTAGCTCCCCAAAACAATACCCATATTTTTACGGGTAAAAAAAATGAGATAATTATTTATTCAATCCCTTCTATTAGCTCACACTCTCCCTATATATATCTTGTTCAAATTTTCAATCGTTCATAAAATACTTTTTATTCTTCCACTCCAGTTCAAATGCATTTTTTTAACTTGTAGTGGATGACACTGGATATTAATGCAGTTTTTTCAAATATTAATTCAGTAATTAAATTTAATTAATTAATTTTTAGTTTTTTTTAGATTTAAGTTGCATGTATCTACCAATAGAGGGCGCCAGATAAATTTAAAAAAATGAATGAAAATTATTTATAATGGACTATCTGCAATAGAGTGAAAAAAAAGTAGGAGTTGACTGTAGAAATTTTTTTTATATTATTTGTTTATTCCTAATTTGAAATAAATAACTCAGATCTATATTTGATTATGCAATTAAGTAAAATTTTCATTATTTAAATTAGTTGAAAAGAAAATAAAAATATTTATCTTTTCACTGATAACTTTTTTCGAGAAAATATTGCTTATGAATAATTTATGGATAAATTTCATATCTTAATTTACAATTCATTTTTCCTTATTATGTTTTGATTTTTTTACATATTAAATTTTATTACTCAATTTTAAACATTAATTTTGATTATGATTAATATTGATGTTAGTGTACGGTTTATATTTGAGGAAATTAATTTTAAATTATGATTCTGTTAGATTAGCCTTTGTCTGTTGGCAAATTAAAAAAAATTTTCGAATGTTTTTTGGGTTTTTTTCCCCTTTTTTTTGAGAATGGTTTAATTAATTAAAAGCATTCATGGCTTTTATTTTGTTTTTTTTAATTCAGATTATAATGAGGCATGAATAGATATATTGAAGTTTCTTTAATTTTATAAGGTTCGTTTGTTTTGAATATATTTTTTTAATCTTTGATTCATTTTTAAGATAAGATTCTCATCGATTGTAGTCTATAATAAAATTCTAATCTATATTAATCGTAATATTTTTAACTACAAATGGAAGCTTTAATTAATTCATATCAATACATTGACCTATAATTGCATTCAGTTTGATTTTTAATGTGCTAATTCATACTTTATGGTTTTTAACAATTAAACAATTAAATTATTATTATTATTTTTAACAATTAACAAGCCAACGGCCGTACCATGCTGAATATCCCGGTTCTCGTTAGATCACCGAAGTCAAGCATCATTGGGCGCGGTCAGTACTTGGGTGGGTGACCACCTGGGAACACCGCGTGCCGTTGGCATTCACACATTTGGGACCTGAATGGCCGAGTGGCTAGCGCTCTGGCGCTCGGTGCCACAGGTTTCGGGTTCGAATCCTGGCGGTACCAGAGATGTTTGTAGTGGTTCGGAATCCACTTTAAGCCGTAGGTCTCGGTCTCCTATGACTGTAAGAGCGTCACGGAGCAAAAGTCAGACTTCTACCTACGGGTGCTCCATCACAACAGAAGCTGCTTCCTTCCCGTTCAATCATGAGTACGTATGGACTCGTGGGCTTGGCCTAGAAATGTCTGCCAAGTGGGATAAGAAACAACCAACAACAATTAAACAAACAAATTTTAACAATTAAATAATCATTAGAACGTATTTTCCTCTACAGTTAAAATTAATTTAATTGTCCATTAAGAATATGTTTTTAATAAGGAATTTGAAAATATTTGCTTTTATTTAATGTTATTTTGTCTTATAATTATATAGAATGGTAGGACCTCAGGGCCAATGACTGACATTCTAACACTTGGTGCCACAGCCCTTGGATACGAGCCCCAGCTGTGTCATGGATGTTTATAGTTTTTGTAATCACCTCATCCCTAACCTCAGCCCTAATGCTCGGGCCTGATAGCCGAGCTCTGGCTTTCGGTGCCGCAGGTTTCGGGTTCGAGTCCCGGTGGTGCCATGGATGTTTGTAGTGGTTCGAAATCCACTTTATAGCCGTAGGTCCCGGTCTCCTATGACTGTAAGAGTGTGACGGAGCTCAATCAGACTTTTTCTCACCTACATCATTCCCACACTGTATAAGGACAGCTCAGCTCTGAGCACAATAATGTGGTATGGTGTGGTAGTAGTAGCCCTAGTGCTCACCAGCGGTGCACGTTCCCACTGAGCCACGAATCGCTTTCAATACGTTATTGAATATAAATAGGATTTTGCATTAAGTTAGAAGAGTATAAGTTTGAGAAGTATTTTTAGAAATAGTTAGTTTATTGTAGTTTTAATGTACGGTGGAAAGTATTATTTATTTTTGATTTAAATTGATGTAAAAAAATATTGCGACATAATTTTTTAACCATTTTTTTTCTATCTTAAGAAACTAAATCTCGTTTTTATTAAATGACCAACATTTCTAAGAATTATAAACTTGTTTACTTTTATAATAATTAAAAAGACTATTTTATGGTTTCATTTGGTGTGTAATAAAATTGCCTATGCAGAAATTTATGTGTTAATGTCCAACTGTCTTCAAAGTTCTAAAAACATTATTAAACTTTACGAATAAAAAATTTTAATTCTTTAAGCGTAGAACTAAATTGAAATAAAATATTTCATTTATAGACCATGTAATTAAGATTTTGAAATAGGGCAACGATTTCCTTCTTCTTCGTAGAATAGAGAGGAAACCGTTGCTCCAATCGTGTTTTATAAACACGGAGGAAATCATTTCCCCATCTGCACATCGGATGAAGAGCTGTCTTGTAAATCAATTCCTCCCAATTGCCAGTTCTAACAACTTTGTCATCACCCTACTTTGCTAAGTAACTGTGGAATTCGCTGAATCATCTGCAGGAAATTCTTTATCATCGCATCGGCATTCTTCTTTTTTTTTGGTCAGAGATTTTATTTTTATTTTTTGTCACATAATTTTGACACGCAGACATGCGGTATAATAAGCTTAGTCGATCTTAAACTATAGGATGCTAAACCAAAGCAAGTTGAACGTATTTCTAATTAATACATAACGGACATGACTTAAGATCGAAGCGAGAACGACAGATATGCAGCAAATTCAGCATTATCAAGAGTGCACCAGGAATGGCTTGCATCACTTGAAATTTAAATTTTGATATATTGAAATATTGATAGATTTTTGATTATTGAAAAATTGAAATATTGATATATTTTTGATCAGTGAAAAATTAAAATATTGATATATTTTTGATTATTGAAATATTAATATATTTTTATATAAAATTTGATATATTGAAATTTTTGATATTTTATTACTAAAATACTTAAAAGTACTAAAATACTTGGTACTTTTATTTAAGTACTTAGTTGTTAGTACTAAATTCTTTTAAAAGTTATACAACCGCAATTAATGTTCTACTAAATGATATTAAAGTAATTAAAAGTATTAAAGTACTTAGTTATTAGTACTAAATTCTATTAAATGTTATTTTACATCAATTATTGTTCTACTAAATATGGCTTTACTACTGCTACTAATCTTGCGATTTTTTTCCGCGCAAATGCGTGATTGGCTACCGATACATTACTTATATCATTACTTTACGTGATTGTTTTTTGAACATTGACGGTACATCATGCACTGGCATGATATTCGCAAAGAATATTTCAAGCATTTAAAGTAAAATGAATAAAATTATACTATTCTTATCTTTATAAATAAATAATACTTATTCTCTGTTCCATGAAGAAATAGCATTTTTTTACGAAAATATTTTCACCGTTATTTTCAAATGCTGTCGTCGTCCTTCACTATTATCATCCCTTATCTTTTATGAGAATCATCGTATATTACATTTATTTATTTATTTTTACAGCTTACATTGTAAATGTTACTTAACTGAAGCTTAATATAGCAAAAAAGATGCATATTTTTTAACAACGACATTTTTTTTATCTTAATAAATTTCTAAATTATTATGGGTAATAATTTTTTACTGTCTCCTTTTTTTATTATTTTATGTTTAACACAGTACTGTAAAAAAAATTCTATGTAGTATTAAATATTCAGTTACTAAAAACAACAGTTTTATGAATAGTTAAAAACATAAAAATAAAGCAGAAGTTACGATAAAGATTTTAATCACTATACCATGCACTAAATCACTATACCATACTAAATCACTATACCCTGTATGAAGTGATTATATATTTTTTTCTCCAAACGGAACTAAGATAGTTAGATAGTAGCATGTACATTTAAGGCCTGATGACCGAGTGACTGGTACACGGTGCCACAGGTTTCGGCTTCGAGTCCCGTTGGTGCCCTGGATGTTTGTCGTGGTTCGGAATCCACTTTCAACTGTATGTCCAGATCTAATATGACTGTAGAGCATTGGGCGTTGGGCTGCAAACCCTACCTGTTAAAAAAAAAGTCTTTCCTGTCTCGAAATCTGTCGGTAGGCAGACGGCCTTGGCCCACCATGGGGCTGTTGCGCCACTGATGCTGATACTGAGGATGAGTTATGCTGGTAGAATTCGCCCGTTCAAATATTTCTAATTTTTCAAAGAACAAAGTTCCGCAGCTTCATATGTTCTTTGCTTATTTATATAAAATTTAGCAGCTGTTGCTTTCATATCTATATTCGCCACTGTAACAGCTCTTATTGCGCATGCTCGTTTGACGTCATCACTGTGTTATTAGTAACTATCAACGTTTTTATTTGGTGCGTATGTTTTTAATTGTCACCTTAGTTTCCTCTTTTTCTAAAAATGGGACATTTTATAGTCCTGTAACTGAGCTACTGGAAAACAAATTAAGTTACATAAAAACGGGACTTATGGTTACATTAAATATGTAACCATAAGTGCCGGTTAATGGTTATTTTAGAGAGTTGTGGAGATCATTTCCCAGGAGGCATTTTTTGCGTATAGCCATATCATATATCAATTTGCATAATATATGATTACTCTGTACTTTTAAAATCTAGTAAAATGTAAATAATTTGAATTAATGAAAAATTATATATACAGAATATTAATTAAAATATCAATATCTGATAAAAAAAAAATACAGAATTATAAATTACAAACCAATAAAATCATTTTTGTGTTATATAGTAAGTATTAAATTTCAGCTGTCAATATTAAAGTAAATATGAAACCTCTGTGGAGATAAATAATGGTTATTTTAGGTTAAGGTTGTGGAGATCATTTCCCAGGAGGCCATTTTTGCGTATCATATGTCAATTTACATAATATATGATTACTCTGTAACTTTAAAAGGTAATAAAATGTAAGTAATTTGAATTAATGAGAAATTATATATACAATTATTATTGCAAATTAAAGCATCAATATTCGATAAAAAAATACAGAATTAAAAAAATTACAAACCAAAAAGATCATTTTTATTAAATTTCCACTGTCAATATTTAGGTATATATGAAACACCTATGTTTTGAGTTAAATAATTATTATTTTAATTTCGTTTAATATGTCATATGATTACTCTGTATCTTTAAAATATAATAAAATGTAAGTAGTTTGAATTAATGAGAAATTGCATATACAAAATATTAATTAAAACATCAATATCAGATAAAAAAAATTTCAGAATTAAAAAATTACAAATCAATAAAATCATTTTTATGCTTATAAGTATTAAATTTCAGCTGTCAATATTTAAATAAATATGAAACCGCTATGTTTATTGCCTGATGGCCAATTGGCTAGCTCTCTGGTCTTTCGTATCACAGGCTTCAGGCTCGAATCCTGGCTGTGGCATAGATGTTTGTTAATGGTTCTGAATCCACGTTAAACTGTAGATACAGGTCTAATTAGCCCGAGGTGGGTACAAAATGCCGGTAGAGAGACAAAACCAAACCGCTATGTTTAGTTGAGATAAATAATGGTTGAGTTAACGTTGGCCGATCATTTCCCAGGAGGCCTTTTTTTTGCGTATAGACTTATCACATGCCAATTTTGCGGAATTTATGATTACTCTGTACCTTTAAAATATAATGAAATTTTAATAATTTTAATTAATATGAAATTGCATATGCAAAATATATCCCATAAAAAAATACAGAATTAAAATATTACAAACCAACAAAATACTTTTTATGTTTATAAGTATTAAATTTCAGTTGTAAATATTAAAGTAAATATGAAACCGTTATGTTTTATTGAGATAAATAATGGGTATTTTAGGTTAAGGTTGTGGAGGTCATGTCCTAAGACATTTTTTTTTTTTTGTACAGCAGTATCATATGTCAAATTTGATTAATAAGTCATTTGAGAGACAACTTTTGAAAGACTTTGAGATTTTGATGA